TGATATGATTGTCCATATCTGTACACATGGTCTGGCACAGGTCTTTCCCCACTTCATTTGGTATCCTTATCCCCTCTGTAGGGATAAGAGCAGTGGGGGATATAGCACTCAGAGCAAGGCAAGACAACTTATCCTACATGCTAGCTGCAGGAATGATTGACAGTGGTCCCCTTCTCTTCTTGCCAGCCAGCCACTTTCCTTCTTAAAGAGTGCAGGCTGTGGAGTAGAAAAGAGCTTTGTGCTGGATCAGGAATTACACAGCTTAGGGAAACAGGGAGAAAGGAAATGGCTTTACGAGTATGCTTCTATGCCACCTGCTACATGGGTGAAGTCCTGAACTTCCAACAGACTGGCTGGATAGCAGAGGGAAAGCCAAGGAAAGGGAGGAAGAGACAAAAATCTCAACGATACCATGAAAAATCACTGGACTCTGTGTTGGAAAAATGGGGAAAAGCATCACAATACATGGTAGCATTCTCAATTTGGGAAGTTTTTTGCTATCAGTATTGTGAAAAACGTCTGTAATAACAGTCATCCCTTTTGGAGGTCTAAATCATTCCCAGCAATCAGAACTGCCCAGTGAATCTGCAAGGAGATCCTTGCATCTGTCAGTCCCCTGTCCGGCATCCCGTCCTGGGCTACTGTCCCGCACAGCCAGGCCAGCCACTGTTGCAGTAGTTGCAGTAGTATTTATCAAGTGATAATAAGCAGCTCAGCTCCACAGAGCAGCTTCTGGGCTGACTGACAGAAGTTCACAGACAATAGGAGCTCTCCTAGGATGCAGGCATCTTATTGGTTCAGAGTCTGGGGGCACACAGATAGACCAGTGAGCCGTCTTGACCTGGGAGTTTGGAAGGGGATAAAAGGGTGCAAGACACCATAAACGAGGCTGTTGTCTGATGACCAAAAGGGAGTTCTGTCGTCAGACATACCAACAACACGGATTCACTGTAATAAGCCACCACCACCAGCACACTGGAGTGAGACCTCACCCACACTCCTCTTGCTTTCTGCTTGGCACACTCCTGCTCTGGGAAAGCATAGAAACCAAAACTGCCAGCTGTGCTCCAGCAGAAGATCACACAGCCAGTCTGACAAAGCCACCCTTCCTTGTGAGGCTCATCACAGGAGATGCTCTACTCCAAGTATCTAAAAACCTAAGGCATCCCAATAGGTCAGGTCTAGACTGTCAGAAGTACTCAAGAAATGGCCCTGGGTGTAGGAAGTGGCCTGTCTATCCCACAGCAGTACCGTATACGTGGAGCGCTCTTTCGCAGCACACTTTCAACGTAACTTTCCTTCTCCATAGTGGAAGCAGGGTTCCAGTACACACGGCATGCTGAAAAGTTGGATGACAGGGACACCTATAGAAAAGGCAAATCTGTCTTTAAAATTATATATATATACACACTTCATATACAATGAAGTCTGTGATGGATTGCAGAAACCCTACTAGAAAATGTCTTTTGATAACAGAAGTGATGATATCAGACCAGAATCAGTTCATGAGTAAATCAGGAGTGATCTATGCCCAGCCATGTCCCACAGCACAAATACTGTGCAGCTATAAAATCTGTATTGCATTGGGAAGAAGGCTGTTTCTTTCCATCTCGCACATTATAAGTCGTTTAATTTACAGCAATGCCTCCTGAAAGAACTGTCTTGCCCACACCCGCCAGCATTTTTACATGCAGACATGTGATCTGATACAAGCAATCCTCAAAGTCCTAGAGAGACAGAAATACTCTGTGAAGGATACTGCACATATACAGCCAAAAGACTCATCTTGCCCATGTAGTTTTGAACGGCTGTCTGACAACAGAATGAATTCAGCTGGAAAAAACATCTATTTTAGTCATGAATGACAACCCTTTTGTCATAGAGCAGCTATGAGGTATCATTTTCCATGCTTCTAATATCAAAGCTAAGTCCACCAAGCTTTTAAGCCAAACACTGGTATAATTTAATCTTTATAAACTAGCAAATGTAGATGATAAAAACTGCAGACAACAAAAAAGAATGCAGAGACTGACTTAGTTCCTGTATCAGAACTCTAACATCCCTTTCAAATCCACAAATTGTTACACCACTAGATACAATTACATACAAATCTCAATTCTTTCTCAGATCTGGCTTGACAATGACATTTTCTTAGGCTTGCCCTTTTTTTTTTAATTAATCTCATGCATCACTTAGGTCTCCTGCCAGTAACATTGCTGGGGAGTCACACAAGCAGGTGACAACTCTCACACCCCTGCAAGAAAAGAAGAACAGACTCTTGGAAAGATACACTTACGTTGGTAAAACCAAGCTCCTCCTTCTGAAAGGGCAAGACAAAGAGTTTATGTCTGAGTAACAGAAAAAAAAGTCGTATCAGGAGAATCATAATTTAATTGGCCTGAGTTGCATTTGCATTAGAGTGGCAAAGGTCTCCTCAGCCAGGTACTACAGTGCAAAGTGTGTATTCCAGTGCCAGATCTTGCTGCACCCTGCCACATCAGAAGCAATGCAGTGAAACTCCTCTTGGCACACATCACAACACCCAGGGGAGCTCCTTTGGCACATCCATGCCAACCTCACAACGTAATCAGAGTGGCTCAGCAGAAGCTGTAGCTTTGGCACTTGCCTTGCAGATTTCCAGCTTGAGATCATAAAATTCTTGACTGACTTCACAGGTAGTCGCCATTTCTAACACAGCTTTATGAATAAGACCATTCAAAACTCTGCAGCGCACATTGTCTTCTTTCCTTGTTTTTGTAAGGTCATTTTCCATTAAAAAGTCTAACTTGGTTGGTTTATACAACTATAAAAAGAAACAAACAACACATTAAACAGTAGTTACACATTTTTATTAGGCAACTATATACAGTTTCATGCACTTTACTAAGTATGCTCTTATTTTATTATTGCAGCTGTGATGGCTTTATATAGGTCCTACATATCACGTGCTTCAATAAAGAATACTTCTGTTCACAAAGTCTTTGACATTCATGTACTACAAAGTTTCTAAAGTTCTTTTTGTATTTTGTAGCAAGTTATGAAGCTCCATAGATCTGTTTTCTCAAATACAGCATGCATTGACTGAAAAGTTTTGTTTGTTTGAAAAAACAAACATTAAAAAATTTTTCATTAAACTAAGCTCATAGAAGTTTTAATCTGGATAAGTACTCAGGAGTGTGCAAGAGAGCATTGATGCTGGCAAGGATGAAAGATCAGTACAGAAGAGGAAACAGCCATGGGAAGCCAAATGACAATCCTGTCACAGTCAGACTGGAGCCCTACTCTTTGTTCACAAAATCTTGCTGTTTTTCCATCAGAAAATGCTTCAAGTTAGAATCAATGGGAGAAACACAAGTCTGTTCCTCCTGGCACAAATAAACATATCGCCTTCAGAGCTTGCACTTACCGTTTGTGATCCCAGGGCAGAGCTGTCATACCAGAACTTCTTTCTTTTGGGAAAAAGAAAGGAAATCAGCCTTATCTTTAAGTAGCTCAGAGAAATAAGGATTCCCTGTGTAATTAATATTCCACCTGCCTGAAAGGACACCACAACACCCAGGTTTTCATACAAGTAGCTCTCCTTCCCTGGGGTGCAGGAAACAATGCTTCCCACCCACAGCTGAAGCTGCACATAGATGGGAAGGGGGTGGAAAAGAACAGCTCTCAGGTTTCTTTAGATTCAGAGAATCATTAAGGTTCAAAAACAGGGCTAAGATCATAAATTCCCACTGTTGACCCAGCACTGCCAAGTCCAGCACTAAACCAAGTCTCTAAGCACTGCTTCTACACATTTTCTGAACACTGCCAGAGACAGTGATTACACCACTTTCCTGGGGATCCTGTTCTATTGCTTGACCATTCTTCCCTTTCAGTGAAGAAATTTCTCCCAATGTACAATCTAAATGTCCCTTTGTGCAGCTTGAGCCCATTTCCTCTCATCCTGTCACTTGTTTCCTGGAAGAAGAGACCGACTCCCACCTGGCTACAGCCTCTTTTCAGGCAGTTGTAGAGAGTGATAAGGTCCCTCCCCCCTGAGTCTCTTTTTCTCCAGACTGAACACGCCCAGCTCCCTCAGCTGTTCCTCACAGAACTTGTGCTCCAGACTCTTCGCCGCTGCCCTTCACTGGACATGCTCCAGCACCTCAATGTCTTTCCTGTACAGAGGGGCCCAGAATTGGACACAATACTCGAGATGCGGCCTCATCGAGGCCAGCGCAGAGAGCACCGAGGGACGATCAGTGGCCTGGTCTTGCAGGACACACTACTGCTGACAGAGGCCAGGGCCACTGGTCTTGGCCACCTGGGCACATGTTCAGCCGCTGCCGACCAGCTCAGATCGGCGGCTCGGGGTCGATGTCCCTCTCTTCTCCGCGGCACCAGGACCGCGGGAGCGCCCGAGCCCCACAGCCCCTCTGAGTCCCCTTGTCCCAGCGCCCACAGCCCACCCCGGCAGGGCCCCGCACCTACTTATTCTTGCGCAGCATTTTCCGCAGCAAGTTCCTAGGGCCGCCCAGGGCTGCGGAGCTGCGCAGGGCCCGGCACCACCGCGGCACCTCGGCCACCCGGGCTCCCCACATTGCTGCCCCGGCCCCGGCCCGGCACGGGGAGCTCCCACCTCAGCTCCGGCTGCGGCTCAGCCTCCGGCTGCGGCTCCCCCTGTCGGCCGGAGGTCCGGGCCCGCGGCTGCGGGTGCGGGTGTCCCGGCCGGTCCCGGAGAGGGAAGGAAGGAGAGAGGGAAGGAGGGAGAGAAGCCGAGCCGCCCTCAGGCTGATCAGGGCTCGCAAGCACTCAAACCTTGCCGCTCCGGCGCTCCGGCCCGCGGCGGGAGCACGCACCCAAGGGCCGGGATTGCTGCCGGAGCGGCGGCAGGAGCCGCTCCGACACGCCGGCTGCGCTTGTGGCTGTGCCGGGCAGTCCCTCTAAGACACGGTTTACATGTCCTTCAATTCGCTGCTGCATCGGCGGACAGCTGTAAGGGGATGCGAGGAAAGCAAATGACACTGAGGCAAGACTCTGTGCTCTGGAGTTTTCCATTGAAGATCAAGACAAAACGCTTGCAGTTTTCCACACAGAACTGCTGCTGGGTATTTAAATAAATTGAACCCGTGATTTATATATTTTATCTGCATAACACGAAATTGCATGAAATAATTACACGAAAAGTGATCCAATTGCTGCTTCTGCACTGGTGGTGTTAATCCTAAATGCAAGCTGCCTTAGGGCAGCACCTCACGGGGGATAGGAAGACCCGCCAGGCCTGCCTCTATGCTCTCTGCCATTTCCTCCATCATAACCCAGCGCGTCTTCTTGGTGGCACTTCCGATGTGAGGAGTTATTATAACATTCTTCAGCTTTAACAAGGGGTGATCCCTGGGAGAGGAAAAGAAATGCTGAACTAGTCACTCACAGCACATTCATCAGTATTTCATCAGTATTACAGGCCACCAGGGAAAATAATAATTAAAAATAAAACAAAACCTAATTGCATGACTCAAGCGTATCCAGAGGAGTTCAAAGTGCTGCCTAGCTTGGTGGGGCTTTATGCAACAAATCCTCCAAATGAGTGAGTGTGAATTTTATTTGGCTGGAACTGGATTGGGAACATGGGTTCAGCAGGACCAGTGCACACACCTCATGTACTCCTACCAACAAAATTATGCAACTTCTCACATGCTCACAAAATTTTACTCAGTTTGAACATCACACATACACCCTTTTAATTTTAATGTAAATACATGTCCTACCTTGGCAAAGGTTCAGGATATGTCACATCCAGAGCAGCTGCCTTAATAACTTTGTTTTGAAGGGCTTCCACCAAAGCATCCTGATCCACTATCAGACCTGGGTTACAGTAAGAAGGATGTGTTTATTTTCATGTTCCTTACTGTCCTCTCAGTATTCTTTTGGGCGCAGTGGTCAGGCAAACAGCAGGGCAGGCCATGGTCACAGTGCAGAAGCAGCAGTGGAGTGTAGTGGAGTGGGAGTGGGAAGCCTGGGTATGTGCATCAGGGAATTAGCAGAATGAAACAGAGCGCCAGGCCTCAGAGTAGGCTGTGCCACCCTAATGTGTGTGAGCAGCAACACTGCATTAAATAAATAAAAGGCTTCAGTAGGAGATATATAAATACACTTCTAACACTCCAAGGTCACTAACATTTCAGAGACCTACTTTCTTATTATTAAGGAAATACTTAAATATTTTACTGAGATTTTATTATGGGTGTCTAAATAAACTAATAATCAGAAAATGTATGGAAAATTTCAGAGGGACAGACTTTATATTAGAGATTTTCTCAGGACTTGTCATGCCACCAAACGTTAATGCAGTTTTGTTTATTCTGCACCTTACCTCTGCTGATATTAATAAGAGTAGCAGTAGGTTTCATCAGCTCCAGCTCCCTCTTCCCAATCAGTTTGTGTGTCTGTGGAGTTAGGTTCACAGCCAATAACACAAAATCTGACTGCTGGAGCAAATCATCTATCTTCTTACAGTAAACAGCTCCAACAGCACTTTCTTCTTCCTTTTTTCTGAAGGGAAAATCCCAAAATTAAACTGCAGTAGCAAGAAACAAGGGAAATATCAAATCACCAGTAGAGAAAATGTTTCTTTATTGTTATCTTTGCTGTGTAGTGCAAAGCAGTTAGCTGCTTGTCTGAAAAAAAAAAAAAAAAAAAAAAAAAGATCAAGCTCTTTCTCACAATACCAAGTGAACTGTACACAAACAGTGTACACAAACAGTGTGCAGTACGGTGGGGATGGAAAGAAATGGGTATCACATAAATGCACTGAATAAATGATAAACAAAATGCATTTGTGTCACAGTTTTTGCTAATAATGGGGATTCTTTTCCTACCCAAAAGCAAGACTGATGTCTTGTGAAAATTAAGTAATTTAAGTAAGTAATGTGAAAATTACTGAGGAAACACACAAGACAGGGCAGGGATTAAATCTTCCCAAATCTATGTCAGCAACAGCCTGATTGTGCTGTGCATCAGTGCTGATTCACTGAAACCACACGCTGCAGGACCTGCTGGCACACTCAATCTGTATCAGGACGAGGTTGGCTGGCTCATCAAATTCCCACAAAAGAAAAGAATGGAATGGGAGCACAGGGACACAGGGCACGTACACCTCATCTAGAAGACAGAAAACAGACAGGCAAGTCTGGCCCTTCATTGTCACGTGGCTTTGGAAGGGTGAGATGTCTCTGCCTGAATCCCTGCCTCACCTAAATCACAGGAGTTAAGTCCTCCCAATTTTCTCCTTTCCAGTCCATTGCAATGTCACCACCATAGCAGGAAGAAGTCAGGAGCCCCAACTAATGGAGAGACCAGTGAGGTATATCTCTCCCATTCCTTCCTGGCTTTCTTTCTGTATAAATCAGAAAATTAATGACCATCTTGGAATGCTAGTATGTACTTTTCCACTTGAAATAAAGAGCACTGTAAAAAGTGAAAGCACAGTGAAAAGTACAAATAACACATAAAAGCAGTGACAAAATAGAGTTGCCTTAGAACTGCAACAAACTTTACCTCTGATTTCTGTTGTGGTACAAAATCATCATTTCAAAGGCTTTGGCTCTTTCAGCCACTTTGTAACCAATTTTGCCCATTCCCAGGATCCCCAGGGTCGCTCCAGAAACCTCAACCCCCAGCCAGTCAGCAGGGAAATACTCTGTGTCAGGGGAGACTGCCATCTCATGGCCTTGGAAGAGCAAAAGAAGAATTATGTAATCCTAGGGATGTTCCAGCATCTGGTTACTTCCCCCCACACACACACTTTTTATCATAGGACTAGGCAGAAGCACAGGAGCAGTAATGTATGTTACCATGTTTCTGGACAAGAAGTGAGTAATGCTGCACTGTACACAGGACTGCTGACACTGATTTCTTGCTCAGGAGAGAAACATACCCAGCCTCTCTTTGTCAAGAAAGGAAGCAACCAAGGTCAGGCCAAAGCAGCAGTAAGGCCATCTGATTCCCAGCCTCCTTGCAAATACACCAAGGTTGGCAGGAAAAAGAAACACAGAGCATGGTGGGCACATTTCTGGACAGCTTGTTCATAATGACTCAAATACATGGCAGCTTGGCAAAGACATGCTTCAAAGCTCCTTGAAAATACATTATTTTAATCCCCTTTTATTGCAGCTTGAAAAGCAAGACTGCAATGGACACCTACAATGAATAAGTGGCAGTGGGCTGAGGGACAAGAGGCCTGAATTTAGAGCTGTCCAAGGAAGGAACAACTCTACCTTGCCAATATGCCAGTTTGGAAATAGGATGCCAGTTATTGTCAACAAGACAGATTTGTCTTAACTTCTTCCTTTGCCTCTATTTCCTCTATTTCTAGTGTTAAGCTTACTTTTGCAGCAGCACACATTTTCTGCATGTTTTGAAGTCATCTTTTCTATTAAAAACTTTTAACATTTAAGTTATTACCTTCCACAAGTCTCCTGGAAGATGCCAGCAACAAAGCCATCGCCATGTCTGCAGTGTCAGTGGAAACAATAAATGGAGTATTGGACACCTTCACGCCATAGCTGGAGAGGAGTTTCAGGTCCAAGTGATCTATTCCCACTCCAGCACTTGCAACTACCTTCAAGTTAGGCAAGCTCTGGAGCAGCTCTTCATTAATAGCTGGTTTGTGATACCACACATAGATAGCTCTGATCTTTTTGCTGAGAAATGTCTTGTTTTCAAGATATTCTTTCATGGTGATGAGATGAAAACGTTTCTTCAGAAATCCAAGATGGTCTTCATATACTCCAAGCCTCCCTCCTACAGAGTCAACTAGCACATAGGGCAGTTCCTTACTCTCCATGCCCTACAAAGGCAAAGAGAACCAAAAGGACATGATCTGAAGTGATCCATTATATCTTTTTTCTAAAAACCAGGAATTGATTGGCTCAATTACGTTCTGTTTTCCCACTTGATGAAGGATTTGGCTAAAGATAACCACTCCTACATGCAGAAGTCTTTTGGGTTCTCCTCCTGTGTTATTCAGAAGGATGTTCAATTTCTATATAATCTTGTTAATAAGAAAACATTTCTGGCATACCAAGTATGCTAACACTCAAACAAATGAGCAACCAGTTGTTACTCCTGTTCAATGTTCAATATTTAAAGCCAAAATCTTGCTAATTTAAGAATGTGGCCATGTGAGTGAAAAGGTATCTTTTAGTCTGCAAATTCTGCCACTTCTGCAATTGTATTAAGCAATGATCATTGATGAGATTATCTCAGTAAAAATCTCATTTAATGTAACAGAGCTATAAATTGTCAACTATGAACTTTGGAGTTACCCACGAACATAAGTTTACCCTTTCTTTCTTCCGTCTCCTTCAGCGCTTTGCCAACTCTTCACTCTGCTGACTCTGCAAAGAGCCAAGGCTGTGATCACAGGTTAAAGCCGGGACCCCCTCCCGCCGCCCCTCATTGCGACGGGCAATGCTCCCGCACCGCTCCGGCACCACCGGGCCAGCTCCCCGTTCTGTGCCCCGACCACCCGCCCCCGGAGCGCCGTGTCCCGGGAAGTTCTCCCTGCCCAGGACGGGCTGAGCTCTTCCCGCTGTCACAGCGGGCCTAGGGCTGGGACTAAACATAGGAGGGAGCTGGAGCGGCGGCCGCGGGCTCTGTCCAGCCCTGAAGGACGGCTGGGAACGGGCGAGATTCCTCCCTCTGCCAGCCCGGGCGGGCGCGCAGGACCGCGGGAGCCGCGGTGCCCCGCACGCCCGGTGCTGCCCCCGGAGCCGCCGCCGCCCGCGGGGGTCGGGCCCCGTCCCCGCCCGGCAGAGGTGGTCCCGGAGCCCCGCGGGGTCCCGCGGTGCCGCTCGCACTCCCCCCGCCGGCCGTGCCCGCCGCCCCGGCAGTCCCAGTCGCACCGCGGGGGCGGAGCGGGAGCGGCCGCCGAGGCGGGACTGCCCGGCCGCCCGCAGCCGGCCCGGGCAGCCCGCGGGGCCAGGGCACGGGACGGGTACCCGGGGTATTCGGGGAACCGAGAGAGAGCAAGGGGAGCTCACGAGTGATTGTGTGTTGTTGTAGGAGTGTCTCTGTGCTGTTCGTGATTTCAGTACAGTCGGGATTTTGCATTAACCTCTTGCACGCTGTGTTTTCCATACTGTCTTTGAAAACGGGACGGGTCTGCCCTTCCTGCTGATCATTACAGTCTGTGCACATGAATTAACATAAGATGAAGAGTTGTCTCTGACGACAGACACCAGTAACAGATCTCACTGCGCACATGAAGGTCTTTTCCAACCTATATGATTCGAGGAATACTCTCAAAAACTCTGAGAGCTAAACAACTGGGGCAGGCTCAGGTGCTTGGACATCTGAGATGTTAGCCCAGCTACAGCCCTGTGCCAACTTCAGCTGAGAATATGTGAGAATTTTTCTGACAAGTTTATTTGGTCTGTATCATAGAATCACAGAATGGTTTTGGTTGGAATGGAACTTAAAGCCCATCTATTTCCAAACCCCCTGCCACAGGCAGGGACACCTTTCACTAGACCACATTGCTCAGAGCCCTATCCAGCCTGGTCTTGAACACTGGTAGGGATGGGGCATCTACAGCTTCTCTGTGCAACCTGTTCCATTGCCTCATTATCCTCAAAGAGGACAATATCTTCCTAATCTTCTCTGTTCTACTACCTAACCTAAACCTACTCTCCTTCAATTTAAGGCCATTCCCCTTGTTCTAGCATTACTTGTGAAGAGTCCCTCTCCAGCTCTCTTGCAGTCCCCCTTTAGCTACTGTAAGGTTGCTATAAGGTTTCCTTTGAGCCTTCCCTTCTCCAGGCTGAACAACATCAACTCTCCCATTCTATCTTTCTAGCAGAGGTTCTCCAGTCCTGTGATAACTTAGTGGCCTTCTCTGGACCCACCTCAATAGGTTCACATTTTTTTTGTGCTGAGGACCCCACGGCTGGATGCAACATTCCAGGTGGGATCCCACAAGAGCAGAATAGAGGGGAAGAATCACCTCCCTCCATCTCCATATCCAGTGATGGGCACTGGGAAGTACAGCTTCAGTTCTCAGTTCACGAAAGCTGTGCTGAAGCGATTCCCCTTGCTGTGCAGGTGGTCATAATCCACTGGGGAGGATGCCTGGTTTCTGGGGTCACAGCAGCTCAGGAGCCAGGACACACCACTACTATGAGCATCCAGGGATCTTTCTCCTTTCACACTACATAATAACCAGCCATAGGGGCTGCTGTGTCTCTCCTGACTACTGTAGTGCTTTTCAAAAGAATGGATTACAAAATGCTGTCATCTTGAATTCTGTCAAATACACTTTGATATGCTGAACATGAAGACAGTCAAGTTTAACACCAATCCTCTATAAAATTGCTAATAATATATATATATATATAATAACAATATCAATTACACAAAACCATAAACTCTTCTTGTTATCCTGGTGATGATTTTTGACTATCAGTTCCTTACATTAAATTCAAGTTCAAACAGTTAAACTTTAAAGCAAAAATTAATTAACTAGCAATATGGAGTTACAGAATGTTAACTGGATTCTTAGTTAAGTTTACTGGCATTTTCTTCCTTTAAAAAAAAAAAAAAACCAACAAAACAACAAACATAAAATGATTACATATTACTTCTTTCACACCAAAAGTTTCCAAACTGCTTTGGTGATAAGATTGTAATGAGTAAGCTTTTAACTTACTGCTCAGCTGAGATGGAAGAACCCTTGTACAGTCCCTCTCAAAGACACAAGTCTGAGGAAAGAAGCCTACCACATTTTGGTCTTGAAGGTAAAGAAAAACCTCTGGGAGGGCAACACAGTAGTGTTTAGCTTTGTATATCAAATCCATGAATTTGAATGAACAAAATGAAGGAATTAGTCAGAGGAGGCAAAAAGTAACAATCAAGCAAAAATGATACCTACATATGTATCAAATGTCAAGAAAATGGATGTGTTGTGTGGTTAGATGTGGAGAGAACTGATATTTTCAAAGCTATTTTGGGCAACTTGAACATCCAATTTTCAAGCTATAGGTCAGGAACTGATACAGCTCTACAGAATTTTTATCTCTTTAGCATCATATGTGAAAAGAAGTTGTCAATTGCACCAGTGCACTATCATATTCTAAGTATATTCAGTTTGTAGACTACCTTATAGACTTCCATGTAGTGTGTTAAGCTGAATTTCACTGCATGTACATTGTTGCTGTGTGCAAGTTTTCTCTTACAGAAATGGATCTGATATACGATATACCAGCACTGTACAGAGCACTGAAATGAGTGAGGTCTGCGGGTACATAGACAGAAGTATTGCATAGTCTGTGGACTTCATCCCCATCATTAAATATTGCTGTTGGTATCCATGTAATCCTGCAGGGTGAGCTGATGCCTGCAGTGTTAATAAGGTGCTTGCATAATAGTTGTTTCTTAGCATTAGGCTTTGAAGTATTGGGTTACCCTAAAAGGCTTTTGTACAATGTAATGCATACATTTCTCAGGTGGGTTGTACAGAATAGCTTAAGCATGAAGCTGGATAAAGACATGCATTTCCTATGTCTACATTAAGTTTTATAAGGCAGTATTGTATTACAGGCAAAAAAAAGCTGAGGCAGGAAATCTTCAGGCAAGGCCAAACCAAGTGATGCTTTTGTTTTCAGTGGCTATAAACCATCATAAAATGTTATTTGGTATCAGCCTGTCTAGTTGCTGTAGGTAAGGCCAGCTTTCCCAGTAGACCTCTGTATCAGCACTTTATTCCAGATCATGTATTTCTGCACATCAAAATATTTCAAAAAACCTGAATCAACGGAGTGAACTATAATGAAGCATCTCTACTCTCATGTGGCCACTGTATTTTTGCACCCACTTCTAGTAATCGTGAGATTGAAGGTATTGTGTGTAAGCCAGCTCATCACTCCAGTGACTGAAGGCAGATGTGTCTTGCCTTCTAAAAAGCACCCCACTGGCAGGGAGCACTTCTGAAACTAATCAGCCCGGATTCTTGAAATATCTGCAGATGTAGGAGTAAAACTCCAAGCAAACGCCAAACATGTACAGTTGTTTAAGTAGATGTGAAGTACTTTATCTGATTTTGTTGGCTTCTTCACTTCTTGAAGTGAACTTCTTGAAGTGAACTTCTTTTTTCTTGAGAAAAGTTTGCATGTGCAAAAGCCTTGTGTGTTTTTTGCAGTTTTAGGATATTGATCTAAGAAAAGGCATTTTTTTCTCTTTTCTCTTTTATTGTATAGCAACCTTGTTTTTCAGCTCTGTAATTTATTGCTTAGCCTTTTATTTTTGAATAAATTTAACTTATTTTTTCAAGGTTATACATGTGACAATGAAATGTGTACTGAGCACCTATACCTCAGAGAGCAGGGAGGCCCCTGGGGCAGTCTTGAAATTCTTGACAGCCAATTTGCTGTGCCTGAAAAACTGCAATGTCTTGTTTCCTGGAGCTGCAAAAGTGATGGGACTAAGTGTATTTTGGCCAGCACTGGTGACAACCATCTGCAAGACAAAGGCTCTGTAAAGATGCATAAGGCTCCAGCCAAAATCCTGGCTGCACTTAATAGCAACTTTGCTATAAATTTTACAGATAAATAATCATACTATTCATAAAGTCACGCTACATAACAAAAGGCATAGCACTGCCACTTTGGGTGTTGGTTTATCTGCCTTTTGGACTTGCATTAGACAACAGAAACTGTATAAACACAACTGACCATGGCAAACTGTTTCCTTCCAAGCTTTAGTGAGGTGTATGGACATTCTTGTATTTAAAAAGATCTTTAGAGCTGATGTGCAGAGGAAAGATAAGAATAAAAAGACAAAGAGAAGAATAAAAAGATATGTAATATCCTTTCACACATTAGCTAGGGAGCACTTCACTGGGTAGAGGGAGACCATTTAGGGCTGCTAGTATGTTTTCAACTGCTTCCTCTGTTATCATGTAGGTGGCCTTGTCTGTTTTAATGCCGAGGTGAGGTGTTATAATGACGTTCTTTAATTTTAACAATGCATGATCTCTGGAAGAAAAGAAAAGAGTTAACTATTGTTGTTCATCTAAATAAAGAGGAGTCTACTTTAGCTTTTGCACTGTATTTACAGTTAATTGATACAGCTTTACAAGTCCCACTTAGACCCAGAGAACCAGAGCACCTATATTGAAGTAATTTTGGATGGTAATAGGACATGCAAAGACTTCATAAGTAGCTCTTCTCTCCAGAAACACACTTCTGCCATGAGGCAGCAATTTGAACTATGTCAGAAGAGAGGATTAAACCCTCCTGATGCATTCACCTTACGCAATAGTCTCAGCTGTAGTTATTTGTGCACAGACACAACAAAACCAAACTCCCCACAACCCAAAATGCAGCCAGCACAGTTAATTCCAAAAGGCACCATCCTGGTTGTCTTTTTAGAGAAGCTAAGCAGTCTCTGGGCCCAAGAGGTTTGCAGTACTTCAGCTTTGTATTGTGAAAGAAGCCTGTGCAGGACACCTCCAGCTTCCACCCATTAAAAATGGCAAGCTGCACTTTCTAATAAAGCAATTTGCAAGTGAAGCACTGCTGCAGCTTCAGGCGGTGATTCTAAGGACTGGGTTTAAATGCTTTCCCTGCCTCCTGCTGTTTCCTGGCTCCCAGGCTTCCCTTTGGTCTGTTATCAGCCCCTATGTCTGGGCTGCATCCCATTCCCATTCATGGCACTTTTCTCCAAACTCATGCCAGGGGCTGGGGAGCCAGCTTCCTGCCTGCTGCAGGGATGCCTCTGCTCTCAGCAGGGCTCCCCCATGCTTCCTGAGAAATAAGCAGAGACAGCAACCTGGGCAGTGGTTCTGGGGAGGTGACATCCAAAGCTGCGGCCCTGATAACACCGGTCTGCAGAGCTGCCACCAGCGCCTCTTGGTCAACTACTGCACCTGGAGTGAATGACAGTGTCCTTGAGTGCACCTGGCAGGTAAAGAGCAGACAGCAAAGAGAAGGGAAGGGGAGAGGGAGGAATTCCGCCATGCCTCATCATCCTCGCCATGCGCCCCAGCTGTTCTGGATGCAGCACGGGGCTGTGGGACACAGCAGGAGCACGCTGTGAGGCCGGCCAGTGGATCTGGATCTGGATGGTACCTCGGCTGATGTTAATCAGGGTAGCTGTGGGTTTCATCAGCTCCAGCTCTCTTTTCCCGATCAGCTTGTGTGTCTGAGGTGTCAGGCTCACCACCAGCATCACAAAATCTGCCTGCTGGAGCAAACTGTCTATCTTTTTGCAGTAAGTGGCATCAACAGCTTGCTCCTCTTGCACTTTCCTAGTGGGAAAAAAAGCATTTCAGTCACGGAAACATTTTCTTCAATGGTATCACCAGAATACAAACAAACTAAAGGATCTGATTATCACATCCATATAGAAAACAGGTGGCAAACAAAGGTGAATTTACCCTCAGCTCAGTGTTTAGATCCTTCTGGAGAGCTTCAAGCCCTACAGCACTGGATAGATTGCATGCCTCCCTCTCAGCCACTCCACTGCACTATTCCAAGGGCTTCTTATGAAGTCTGCAAATGAACTAAGGCTGAGCACTGAAGCACGTGGCAGCACACAGTCCATTCTCCAGGATCCCCTGTGCACCTCCAAGGATGCAATCACTGCTCAAACCAGTGGAGTGGTATGCACCAGAACCCACCCATGCATGCTCTGGGCATGGCAGTGGTCCTCGTCCTGTTGGCACTCTCAGTAAGCCTGTAATTTTTTTATGAGTGAAATCAGCAAGGCAGCTCTTTGCCAGGCTCCTGGCTGCCCCAAGACATTCATAGAGTAAAGTGTTCAGCAGAAAAATTTACCAGAGTAGAGAGATTTTTAGTTTTAACTTTTCACAGTGCAAAAGAATACTTGCTATTTCTCATGTTCTTAGTAAATTTAGCTGTTTGAACTTTGAGAAATAAAGAAGCAATGATAAGAAATCATGTGTACAATAATCTGCTTCTGGTTGCAAGAGAAGAGCTTTAAGTTATCTCCTCCCTAATCTAGAAATAAAGAGATCACACTAAGAAAACAACTTCAATTTATCTTTGACCCATGTCTCTCCTAACAAATGCACTTCACTGTTTTTTTTTTTTTTCAGGCCAATGACCAGAGAGTAAGTGGGAAAAGAACAGAATGGAACTGCAGCCAGTTTTGCAGCTTGCAGAGTGCACCCTGATTCAGCACACAAGCTGGAAGCGTAAATGTACTTTAAATATACTTTAGGCTTTTAATTTCTGTTGCACTGTGCATTGATAATTCATCACAGCACTCTGACATAAATATTACATTAAAAACTGAAAAATATTCAGCATAGGGAGTTGAGGATGATACACATAAAAAAAAGGGATTTGTGCCTTTTACAGTTTTTTTTTGTGGTTTGTGAAGAAATTCTGAAATATCTTAAGGAGTACTTTCTTTTAAATGTAAGTTTGCTCAGCTGTTTTTCTGAAGAAACAGGAATGCCAAGCATAGCTAAAAATTCCTGGCCTCATTCACCTTTGTGATTTGCCTACAGCTAACTAAACCAGTGACCCTTCTCTGGCAGTCTGCCCATGGGGAAAATCCCTGAAAGCCACATCCTAGCACTGCAGCTTCTCCCTCCAGTCACAGAGGAGTGAAGTTCTCTCAGGGTAGGTCATAGTTTATAGCAGTAAATATTTGTTCTGTTCATTATCTGCACCTTGCCTGATTGCAAAGACCTCGAGTTGTTCATGGGGGTCTTGCTCACTTTAAATTGAAGAGCCCCTGTGCTCAATGTCTAACAAGGTTCAGATTCCAGACACACAAGCTAGGAGGGACTAGAAATAAAGGGTGAAATCCAGTTAAATACTTGCTAAAATTCTTACTGGTTTGAGAAGAAACAAGGTTCTCTTAAGAACAGCTCTCAGTCATATTTTGCCAAGTATATGCTTTCTAGTTTCCAGCCACTGTTTCCAAAATATCCCTCCTAAACTCCAAAATATGGGGAAAAAATGAACAACAAATAGAGTTATGTTGTCACTCCAGTACAATGTGATAAGAGTAAAAAAGCATAAGCTTGATTTCCATTTTTCTGCCAGAGACCCTGAAATTTCTAGTATAAAACCTAAATTAAGTTTCCAAGTGTTTAATCACTGAGTAACTCTTTACAGGACTGATTTCAGGCAACCATTCTTTTTTTTTTTTTCTTTTGTTTTAATCTTGGCCCTATTCCTTCATTTCTTGCTATGTTTCTGACACAATTCCTTGAAAAGAAAATACTGACTATGTGGAAGAGTTTCTGCTGCAATTAGGGTAAAGACATATCTTTACCTCTGTGTCCTGTTGTGATACAAAATGTTCATTTCAAATGCTTTGGCTCTCACAGCAATCTTATACCCAATGCGGCCCATGCCAATGATCCCCAGAGTAGCTCCAGAAACTTTAACTCCCAGAATATCAGCTTCACAGTAGTCCATACTAGGAGAAATTGAAATGTTATGGACTGCAAGAAAAACACATAAATATGAGAAATGAATGGGGTCCAACAAGGCAAAAGAGTCTGGACTTGTGCTACTATAGCATACTTCTAATGGTTACAAACACATGATTTTTAATGTAATGTCCTAGGTAATGCCCTAACCTATCATCACTGCCTGCTACATGTATGTATGGTATTCCAATTTATTCTCCCCATACTACAAAAAGCCTTTTGATATAATCCCTCCAAAAATTTTATTACTGCTTTAGACTCATGAAAATATTGCCCTGTTCCTCATCAGCAATCAAAATAATTATTGCCAATAACAATGCAGAGTTTGAAGACGTCACATGGAGAACACCACCAGATATTGGGTTTCCTCTTCACATCTGCCACTCTCCTTGGAAAGAAAAGTGTGACTTCTTAAAAATCACAACCTAGTAATTTCTGTAATTACTTGCTAAACCTGCACAATTCTGGATAGTTCTACAACACATAAAATACAGTTATATACACTGTGTCAGGACTTCTTGCAAGGTGACAGCCTTTTGATACTTCAATCTTCTGATAGTGCCAGCTTTTCTAAAACACAAGCAGAATATTGTGAAAGGATACAAAAAAATGACTCAGGAAAAAACTCAGTCTATCAGAAAACTCAGAGCTATCAGAAATGCCACCAGGGATAGTTTAAGTAGATGGGAACAAGAAATTAACCTTCCTTTTAAACTGTCTCTCTTTTGTGAGGTAGAAACCAACTTAGAGGGATGCAAATGCCCTTTGAGTTTCTATGAATCCTGTGGTACAGATGGCAAGGCAAAGTCAGGCAAATATAAAAGGATAAATCTGAAGGATTTTTTTCCTGAAGAAGGAGGCTTTCTAACCAAGCCAAGGGTAGGTCTATCTGGCAGAATAGCAAGAAAAAATTGTTGATGAAACTAGAAAGGATGCTATTAACAAAAACTGGAGTAGGCTGCCTCTATTATTACTCTCTAATGCCCATTAAATGCCCCAATTCTGCACCAATACATTTCAGTCCCCAAGAATATGCCCATGCCTCTATCAGCCTTGTGGGTTCCTTCCAACTCAGGATTTTCCATGATTCTACATAGCCTTGTTATGCCCCATTGTTGCCTCCCACACTAAGTTCTTCTGCCAGCCTGTGACTTCAATGATCATCTGATCTTTGGCATCCCCCACTTTTGGTCATAGCACTGCAATGCCATCACATTCTATTTATACCTGCTTGAAATAAATGCTATGTATGCCTAATGTAGTAATTTAAGTATACCTATTATACATAAAATGTATGAAAATACCGATTATTCTGTTTGCCAAACCAACATACTTACATTTCACATTTTATGTAACCGTGTGCACTACAGGTAACCCTAATAAAAATCAAATTAATGCCAGGCAAATCTTTTATGATTTTTAGAAGCCACAAAAGAATTGAGATGTTACCTTCCACGAGTCTTCTAGCAGATGCTAGCAGCAAAGCCATCCCAGTATCTGCTGTGGCGCTGGAAACAGCACGTGGAGCATTAGCCATCTTCACACCAAAGCTAGCTATAAGCTTCAGATCCAAGTGATCCATCCCCACCCCCGAATTCGCAATCACTTTTAAGTTTGGCAGGCTCTGGAGTAGCTCTTTGTCGATGACTGGTTTGTGCCACCACAAATAGATTGCTTGGACCTTTTTGCCTACATCCTTTCTGTTTTCAAGAAATTCCTTCATGGTGATGAGATGGAAATGTTTCTTCAGGAATGGCACATGGCTATGCAGTATCCCACGTATGCCACCAATTTCATTTACCAAAAGCCAAGGTAGTTCTCCTCCTTCCATGATCTGCACAAAGAAGAAAGACACAAAGTGTCAGAAGAAACACATATTATTATTTCCAGACATTTTAAAGAATAATCACTGCCATGTCCTGTTTCATGACATTTATGTCAAGCGATCCTGTAAACCGCAAAAGAAGAAAACCAAGACAAGCAAGCAGGTCTTTTAAATATGCTATCTATTATACATACAGGTGCCCCCCCCACACACACAGGTATTCATAGAATCAGTCTGAACAAGTTCTGCCCTTGTGATCTAAGGTTTCATATTATGCTGTGGTGCCAGATTTCTTCTGCCCAACTAGCTCCCGACACGTCAGTGAGATTGAGCCAGCCCCAGACAGCTGCCAGGGTCAGAAAGACACAGAATCAAAGCGATACACCAACCATAAACGGATTGCCCCCTTATCGGAAAAGACAAACCTTCCACCTCGATCTTGTCTTTGAGGTGCCAACAGGATTAAGGGGGGCAAAGTTGACAATAACCAGAGAAATCCCTAGGTGGAAAGGAATGTATGCATCATGTGTGAGATATATGAATATGCAATAGGCTATTGCTTTTAAGAGTTAATCTTTTTTTAGCGAGCCATTCTTTCAAGAGGAAAGCATCCAATTACATTGGTAATTCTTTGCTTTTACTGTCCTTTATTATCCTAACTCTGATTGTCCAAATTCTTATTGCTCTACTTTGTACTACTATTTTTATAACCATTTTCTTACTATTAAACTTTTGGTAACCAGCAAGTGATTGGCGTTTTTCACAAATTGTAAGTAACAGAACAGATCAAGTCTGACAGTTTTGCAGCATCATGATGAGCAGTGCAGGAACAGGTTGCTTTTTATTCAGCTTAAAAGTGGTAAGAAATAGTGTCCTCCCATAGACAGGAGATTTAGTGGCATCATCTAGCACTCATCATTTGGGAAACACTTCACTTGGAATGGGTTGGTCATTGAGAACAGCCAGCATGTTTGCTATGGCTTCTTCTGCCATCATACGGATGGCCTGGACTGTTGCGGTTCCAATGTGCGGGGTTATGATCACGTTATTCAGGTTTAATAAAGGATGATCTCTGGAAGACACAGAAAGAACAGAATGCGTTTACACAAGGAATTTACTCTGCTGCTGTCCCATGCTAGTTGTGAAGAACTGAACCTCAGCAACAGCACATTCAGACCAAAGCACAGAACAAGCATGAAGCTATAGGATGCTTGCTTACACATTTCTTCTCCTTCTCTATCCACTTTGCGCATTGCCTGGCCCATGAGTCAGGCTGGCAAAGACTCAACAGAGGTGGGAAAGGGGAATAACTTGTTTATTTATGATTGTGCAAGATAGTCTGAGGTTTTGCCCTTACACAATGAGTCTCCCCGTGAAGAGCAAAATTATGAGCACAATTTGAACACAGTTTAAAACATTTCAGATTAACAGACTGAGAAAGAAGTTTCTTTACCTTGGCAGGGGCTCAGGATATGTCACGTCCAGAGCTGCAGCCCTAATAACCTTATTCTGGAGAGCTTCTACCAATGCATCTTGATCAATAACTGCACCTGCATTGAAGTTAAATCTTGATATTCTGATGAGTTAATGAACACATTTTTACCTATAAGGGGTTGGAACGTCTCCAGGGTCAAGTGAGAAAAACTAGAGGATCTTTATCTTGTTAGAAAATAAAATGCCTTTTTAGTAACTATTAACCAAAGAAACCAAAGATTTTATTTATTAACCTTTAATTATAGGATGATTATAGTCCACTGCATAGGGTTTTTCCTGGGATGAGACCAGTTTCAGTCTTTTTCTCATTTTGACACTTCCTGTATTAGTATAGACAAATAATTTAATCCTGTAGACTTTCCACTCTTTTATCTCTCTGCTTTGTTTACTGATAATCTCTCTCATATGCTCGTTCAGTGCCAACAGATCTGTCGTCCCATGTGAGGCTTCCTTTCTACAATGCTTTTCCAAATGTTACTTAATGTTTTCCCTTGTACTCTGTTCTCCCTCGCTGATGATAAACCTTTCAGTTATTTCCACTAAAACCCGCTGTCTCTAGAATAAGGCTAAATAGAACTAACCATCTGCTGAGTATCCCTAATTTCCATAGGACCTTTGAAGAAATAGCATATGATCCATGTAGGTCACACATTTGTGTGACTTATTGCTACTTCATTACTCAAACAACAGAGGGATATCACAGACTGAGGCTGGAGAGGGGAATATCAACACAATCGGACAAAACATGACCTTAAGTGTGGAGCCACAAACAGTGATTTCAGATCCTCCTACCTCGGCTGATGTTTATAAGAGTAGCTGTGGGTTTCATCAGCCCCAACTCCTTTTTCCCAATCAGTTTGTGAGTCTCAGGAGTCAGGTTCACAACCAACATAACAAAGTCAGATTGCTGCAGCAAGTCTTCCATCTTTGCACAGTAGTGGGCACCAACAGCCTCTTCCTCCTCCTTTCTTCTGAAGGACAAATGCACAAATTCCCAAATTAACACAACTATTTCTGAGATTAACAATCAGTCAGCCCTAGGAGAGTTCCATAAAGCACAGAAACTGAGAGGTTTGGACCAACATAAAGGATAAGCCATTGATAGGCACAGTTGGTAGAATGGATGCAGAAAGGATGTGGGCTAGAGGGAGCAAGAGGCTACAGGAGTGGTGAGACACTGGAGGAGTGATGTATGTGTGAAAGCACAGCACATAGCAGGCAATATGAGGTTAGGAGGCTGGGGATGCAGTCAGACCCTGCTTTTTTCTCCTGTATCTATGCCAATTCCTGTGGAGCTTTTCCTTGTCTGATATGCCAGTTAGGACTTGTGATTGAAAAGGAATGAAGTGTGAAAGAAAGGGAACTACAGATCCATGAGAAATTAAGGCCTTTGTCATTGGTGCCTGTGTGATGTGTGATCTGGCTAGGCTGAGGAGACTGGCTGGGAGAAACAGGGATGCTGCCAGAAGTGTGAAGATGAGTCTGACAGGACAGGGGACACCACGAGGGCACAAGACCTGGTTTGCTTGGACAACATCTCCCAAATGCTTACCAATCCTTGTTTCAAACTGGTACTCACTAACCAGGACAGGGCAAGTGCAGGGGAAACTGCTTCCTGAAGGGAGCAGGAGGGAGCCAAAGTGAGGAAGTGGTGGCACGGTGGTGCTTGTTACACTGCTTACAGCTGCCACAAGTGCACAGGAAGGCTGGGGACAGAGCAGAGCTGTGGCTTCCGTCACTGCCCTCTGGACAATTAAATGCAGAAACCAGAAATGCAGAAACCTTTACCTCCGGTTTCTGTTATGGTACAGGATCCTCATGTTGAAGGCCCTGGCTCTCTGAGCCACTTTGTATCCAATGCTGCCCATCCCAATGATCCCAAGTGTCGCTCTGGTTACTTCCACTCCCAGCCAGTCAACAGCAAAATACTTTGTGTCTGGAGAAACAGCAATGTGGCAGCCTGCGTGTAAATACATGTTGAATGGGTACAAATCAGCCATAAATGGAGGCCTGGGGGAAAGAAAAGGTTTATCACCATCACAGCAGTGGAGCTCTCAAGCACCCCTAACAAAACACCTTTGCTGATTTTGACCAGTTTATATAAGGGCCTGGATGGTGCAAATTCCTGCACCCAGGCCTAAAGTCAGTAACACAGCGGGATCCTGGCTGGGTACTGTGCTGGAAGGAGTCTCTCCTTGGGGAATTAACTTTTCCACAGCTGGTGTGTTTTCTTGGAAGTTCAAAAATAGCTTCTTCAAAACCACCCTGCAAGCACTGACTTCACTTTTTTTTTCAGCTGTGGTAGATCTCATAATTTCTCTCCTGGATCACAGCCCAAACCAGTGTCACTGCTTGAGCAGGGGTGAAGGTTTCAGATTCCAGCTCAGCCAGGGATCTCTGTCAGCTTTTATACAAAGAACTTGAGGTCCAAAAAGATGCAATAGTGAGAAAACATCACTGGGAAAGAGATGTTATTTCATGCTCTGGGATGTGAACAGCAGTGACAAGAAGACCATGAGTCCCAGAAGACAGAGGCTGCTTCTTGTGAAAGTCTCTACTGACACCTTCCTTCCCCAGAAAGGCATTGCATAGCAACGGCATGGGGAAAAAACCTGCTTTTAGGGACACAAACTAATGCTGGTGGTACAATTTATAACAGCTTGGTCAAAAAGATTATCATCTATTTCAAAAACAATGCTGATGCTCTTCAGGAAGTACAACCTACAGGTTTTGACAAACTCATCACAGAGGTAGGAAAAAGAAGAATTTATACTAATTACTACTCTGGAGTTGGAGATGTGGTCACTAATGCTTTGTATCTTCCTGTAGCTCCTAATGCTTCTTTCGAGGGGAAATGGAAAGTGGTGACGTTCAGTTTGGTTGCACTCTGTATTCAGTTTTCACAGCTGTAAACAACCCACCCAGTGAACAGCCAGAGAAGAATTAAGCCCCAGACGTTATTCCAAACAGGATATCACAAGACTTTCAAGCACGTAATTTAGACAAAAGCCTTACTCTTGTCATTGTTGCCCTAAAAAGAAGTGAGACATAGGAGAAGTAGATGCTTCTACTAAAGTTAAGGCCTCTGAAAATTTTTCCCTGTAAAAGCATCCCAAATATTGATTCAGAAAGATCATCTCTACCACAGCAAAAACGAGGTATGCTAAAGAAGTAGCTAGGACCAAGAAAATGGAAAACATTACCTTCCACTAGTCTTCTAGCAGAGGCCAGCATCAAGGCCATTCCTATGTCTGCTGTTGGGTCTGCCACAGCGTGTGGGGTGTTGGTCACTTTTACACCAAAGCTTGAGATCATTTTCAAGTCTAAGTGATCCACTCCAACCCCAGAGTTTGCAATTATCTTTAAATTAGGCAGGCTTTCTAGAAGCTCGCGGTCAATAGTTGGCCTGCACTCAAACACAAAAACAGACTGGATTTTTTTCCTCATTTCTTCTTTGTTTCCAAGAAATTCCTTCATGGTGATAAGGTGAAAGTGTTTCTTAAAAAGTTCTGCAAGGTCTTCTAGCACACCATGAGTTCCTCCTATATCCAGGATCAAAACAGAGGGCAACTCTCCTTCTGACATGACCTGCAACAGAGGTAGAAGAAATACTCCTTTGTTTAGGAGAACACCCTGAAAGAGCAGTGATGTTCTTTTAAAAGTTATCATTTAAATTCACATGTGTAGATCAGGAAACGGATGGGACTCAATAGTGCTTTTAATCCACAGTCACTTGGTACTAGTGTGGTACGTCAGAAAACTTCCAAGTATTTTTACCAAGTGCTGATTTAGACCATATCACCAAGGAACATCCACACGCTTACATCCAAATCCAGTCCTACAAGCTGTTCTTCTCAAAGAGTTTCATTTTACTCCTGAATCAATACTGATTTAATACAAAAGTATTAAAGTATTAAAGTATACCTTTTCTGGTAGCTTACTTACCAATGCCTTTCTATAAGCAGTGCTATGAAACAGAGGCTGCTAGAAATTTACTCAAAGTTTCTTGCCTGTTGGTTATGGTTGGTGAAGCCACAGGTAATGAGGCTCAGATGGGTCTGACAGACGTCTGTCAAGGATGGTTTACATCTAATAAATTTGCACAATGAAGGGCCACCCTTGGATAGCTGTTGGACTGCTTGCCTTCAGTGTTTTAAACATTCAGATCTGTACCTGAACTTACCTCACGCAAAATTTAGCACACCTATGTGCTGAACTGTTGAGGAAGAGCACTAGAGGAGATACCACTGATAACACAGTCCTTGATGCTAGAACTTTCCACTGCCCTGAGAGTTTTGAGCCCAGTCCTCTCTACAGTACTCTGGCAAATGCACTCTGCAATAAGATAGGGGCTCCACACACAACCAAACATCTAATTAGAGCTCCTATTGGCAGAAGTGGCAGTTGAAGATTTCCTGCATATCTTAACAATAGCTGTGCCTAATTTCCTACAATTCTTTTTGCTGTTCTCTACTAACTTTTGATCTCCATCTCATTCCAGCTCCTAGACTTGTGTCCAGGAAACCTGATGGTTTGCTACCTGAATCAGAACAAATATCCACAGCACTATGCTGATTTATTCTGGGCATACAATGCTGGTCAGCTGTGTCCTGCTGTTTCACTCCTCTCACAAAAGCTTCTGTAAGTAATCAGAACTGAAATCTGTGACAAAAGGTGTCAATGTAGGTTGGAAGTTTTTGTCAACCACATTTACGCCTGTCCTGAGCAAACTCAGACTTATCCCAACCACATCTATTAAATGGTTACAATCTCAGCACAAGTACTGCTGTTTTATCCTGGCCTTGATGTGCATTTCTGCTGCAGTTTCAGTCTGCTGCTGTACATGGGCTTGAAGGGGCCTCCATGCTAAGACAGGTCTGCAGTTCACCACAATGTCTCTGATAATACTATCTGGTTCTCAACCACAGCAAACAAAGCAATGAGGTGAACAGTGCAACCAAATTGCAAAGGAAGAACGTGTTTTTGTATACATCTCATCTTTTTTTTTTTTTTTTTTGCCAGCTGAAGTTGTTAAGTCACACATAGTTGTCAAAACTGTGCAAATTTCGCCAGATGTAGTCTGCATTTTTTAAGAGTATCACACAACATTACTAGGATAAACTAGATTTGTGCTGCAGAATGAATGATGCATAGAATAAAAGAGGAGTTGATGTCATATTGTGATGGCATTGTCCAGCTTCATAAATGATCAGAATCTGGTAATCCTGGAGGGCAGCTAAACCTTTTGCTGTTAAAACTGGGCACCAGACATGATCAAGTGACTGGCAGATGCCAGTGAGGCAGCACTGTATTACTCCATTTGATTTCATCACCACCTCCTACCCTATTATAACACACCACACATAATGGCCAGAACCAGACTTGCTTTCACCTTGGAAGCACTTTCTACACTTTAGAAGCAGAAAGGTGACCCATGAGGAAGCCTCTAGCTATAAACAAAACAGCTGGTGCACTAGAAGCAGGCTAGTGGCATGTTGATGGATCTTTCGGTGAGTGTGGGCATGCTGAGCCCGCCACCATTCCAGCTGTGTTTGATGCACTTGTGACCCATTCACTGCCTGCAGCACTGGTCCAACACCTGGTATTCTGCTTGCTCCAGGTACAATATTAAAAAATCACACTGATACCAGGAATCTAAAAACACTTAAAGGAACCTCACAGAAGGAAGGGGGCTCTCCAGATACCAACCTTTGTCCTAGTGCTTATTGTTCGCCTTCCAGCACTAAGGTGGAGAGTCCTGTACCTCTGTTTGTAAATCACACTTCTGTGACAGCAATGTCCATGAGAAGCAATAACTGGATGAATAAATTTGTAAGCCAAATTTGACTGGCCGAACATCGAGGGAATCAGTTTTGACAGACTTGATGCTTTGCTCCTGAACATAATTATTCAGTTATCAGATGTCTTGTCCAGTGTGCTAAATGTAACACCTGTCAAGGATACAACAATTTTGGTTTTGGACTATTACCATCTGCAGTATCACTAAGTTCCTTTTTTTCTTTTTCTCTTTTTAAAGTTGTCTCTTCTCCTTTTGTATTTACATAAGACTATCTGCTTCCATGTAGGTAAACAGTCATAATCATAGTAAATCATTTATATAAGGTAAGTGCACTAAGTTCTGGTCCTAGCATTGCAGAGAAAACTTTGAAAAAATGAGATTAAATTGAGACAACAGAACAAATACATTTAAGTATTAACTTCAGTGCTAATTGAAATTGACTTATTTCAACTGTGGAGCTTGACTCACTCCTCCTGCAGAACTTCACTCACTCGCAGATTTGTTGGCTAGCACTGTTGTATCGCCTTGGACTTAAACAAATCATAGCAAAATAAACGACGTAATTTTTCCTAGCCCAGTTTTCAGTTAAAGTTAACAGCCTGCGTTATCCAGCGTCAATTCCTCCACTAACTTCTCCAAAGAAGAAGACTAATTATACCTGAACACAACTAAAGCATTAACCAGGGCTGGTTTCTCTCTGACGTCGCACCTTTCACAACTCGATCCCGCGGCAGCTGGAAGCGCCGGGAGCTCACGGCTCCTGCTCGGGGCCGGGCACATCCGCTTCTGCCCAGCCCCGCTCCCTTAACCCTGCCCTGCCCGGGCACCGCCGGCTCCGGGGCTGGCGACTTCCAGGGAAGCTCCGGCACGGGGATCACCGCCCCCGCTGCCTCTGCCCCTGTCTGCAGCCAGACCGGGCTGCCTCTCCTTTCCCTCTCCCTCTCTTTCTTCCCGCCCCGGACGTCCTAAAAAGGCGATAAAGCAAGACGAGGACTCGGGTAATTTTTGGAGAGCTCAGCAATTGTGGGGCAAAGTTATTTGCTACCAATTTACATTGTTCCCCACAGCCAGGCTGCAGCTTGTGGGGAATTTTTATACTGGAAACTATGCTTTTGTCCCTGCCTGCTGCAAGCTAACCTTTCAAATTAGTGTCTGCTGTGGAATTAAGGAAAGATTGGTCTGGGATGGCCTATGCCAATGGCCAGCTCGATTCTGGAACCCAGTGCTGGAATGTGCTGGTTTTGCTGCTGACCACTTCCACTGGAACGTTTTCCCAGAGTACTCCCGTAGTGGCACTTTGGTCACTGAAACCGTGGGAGAGCTCATGGAACCCCAGCGCGAGTCTGGGAGCGGCTGGGCAGTGCAGCAGTCGGGGCCGGGGGCATGACAATTGTCATTGCTGTGGGTGAATACAGTGAGAAAACCTCCCACAGCCGGGATATGCAACAGCACAGAACCACAGAATTGTTGGGCTGGAAGGGACCTTAAAGAAGCACCGGGACCCAGCCCTCTGCCATGGGCACGGACACCTTTCGCTACACCAGGTTGCTCAGAGCCCGTCCAACCTGGCCTTGAACTCTCCAGGAATGGGGCATCCACAGCTTCTCTGACCATATCTCATGATCAAATCCCATGGAGGTTACAGGGAATGCACTGACATCAGAACGCTCAGCAGCAGAGATCTCGGCTCTGATCACCTCTTTTCATCCTCCCCGTGCTAGCCGGCATCACCGATCCCCACGGCACGGCTTCACATCCCACCTGCGAGGGTGGACGCGGGTGTCCCTGACCAGCTCGTGTCCTCTCCTCCCGTCGGGAAGGCGGCTGTCCGGCCCGCCCCGCGCCGTGCCGGAAGCGCTCATGGCTGTGCCCGCCCTTCCGCTTCCCGCCCGTGCCGGCGCTGCCGCCGCTCCGTGTGTGAGGGAAGGACGCCCGCGGGGTGCGCTGGGGACGGGCCGCGCCGGGATGGGTGGGTCGGGGGGGGCTCGGTGTTGGCCCTCGGTGCCCGCCGGAGCCCCGAGAGGGCCCGGGGAGGGGTCGGGCTGTTAGCTGCATGGGCATCCCTGTCGTCCCGCAGGCTCCCCAGCCGGCCGCCAGGATGTCGTACATGCTGCCGCACTTGCACAATGGGTGGCAGGTGGACCAGGCCATCCTGTCAGAGGAGGACCGGGTCGTGGTCATCCGCTTCGGGCACGACTGGGACCCCACGTGCATGAAGATGGATGAGGTGCTGTACAGCATCGCCGAGAAGGTAAACGGGAGCTTTCTGCTTCTTCTGAGCTCAGTGTTCCCAGGCTTGCTTGGAGCCTGGGGTAGCTTATAACTGGGGTTCTGCACAGGTATCCCAGCTTTAGGAGGCAGCGGGAAAGCTGTGTGGTTTCACTTTCATGAGTGTCTCCTAAAAGACTGCTCTGATGTTTGCAGAGTTCTGGGGGGTAAAAAGAGCATCGCAGATGTTCGGAGATCAAGGGTGCTGCTGTTAATAACCCATCACTGAGTGACCATCGGCATTCAGGCGGAAACAGTGCTTGGTGTAGGGCTGCTGCGGCTCCAGCCTTTGGGTTTCCATCTGAATAACTTGAAAAGTTACTTTCATTTTGGCTCTTAAACATGGTGAGGTGCTAAAATGTGCAGGATGGTGTTGATTAATCTGTCACTCATATAATTCTGATTAATTTATCAGCGATATTAATCTGTTAGGGATGTTATCTGTGGACACCAGTAGCCTTCTGCTGAGTTGCATGGACTGAATTAAATTTTAAGAGCCAAACTCCACAGCTGTTTTCAGATGGAAACTGAATGATTGCAAACACTTACTTAAGAAAGATACATAGATAGGAAAAATTAGACTGTTAGAATACACTATCAGCTACAATTTGCCTTTCATATATTTGCTAAAGGTTTTGCGACACGATAGATGTAGAATACTGACAGCTCTTTAACTGAACCACATGAAGAAAGAAGCAGAAATATCTGAATCAGAAACGGTAACTTGGGTAGGAAAAGGTGCCAGCTATCATAGAAATCATAGAATGGTTTGGGTTGGAAGGGACCTTAAAGATCATCTCATTCCAGCTTTCCTGCTCTCCTGACCAGGTTGCTCAGGGCCCCATCCAACCTGGCCTTGAACACTGCCAGGGATGGGGCATCCAGAACTTCACTGCCTTTGTAGAAAGTTCTGTGCATGCTCCATAGATTGACATGGAGTTGTTTTTGTGGTTTACTTTGCCTTCTGAAATTTTTAAAAATAACTTCTGTCTTGAAAATCCCCACTATTGAAGATCTGCACCCACAGCCAGGGGTTAAGACGTATTAGAATGCAGGAAACAGTTGTGATATGTTTTAATACTCTTGTTTTCTATTCAGCCTGGTGGGAGTGTTATGCTCAGATACTGTTAGTATGGACTTGTGGCAGGATGCTTGGCAATTTGGCAGACCTGCTGGCAGCTAGGGGTGACTGGGGGAAGAAAGAACAAAGTAACTTCTTTAAAAATCTCCCTCTGCAGAAATGGCAAATTAAAGGGGGAGATCCTACCTCATCCTCTTGCTTACAAGCCATGTTTGGATCTCTGCTGTTTTAAAGAGTGAGTAAAAGTTCCAATTGTACAGGTGTTTATTCTAGAGAATAATACAGAATGTTAACATGCTATAATTGTAGGCTACGTTTGAAGACAACGTGGCCGTATTTTATATTTGTTACCCTGGTGCAATATTCTTTTAGACTGCAGCATGGTTTTGGGTAGCAGTAATATTTGTTTGTATTTTGTGATAGGAGAACAGGGTTTTCTTTTCAGTTTTTGTGGAAAAAGAAACTAGAATGCTATATGAAAGTACAAAGTAGATTATTTTCACCGAAACGTACTCCACTTGCAGCTGACTGGGTTTTTTCCCTAGTGTTATATGAAAAAGAAGCAAAGTTTCACTGAATGTCAAAACAAATCATAATTGTAAGTTGATAGATTTTTTTTTTTTGCTTTGTTGGGGTTTCAGTCAAACATTGATTGAAGCAAGAATCGAGTTTCACAAATTTTGTCTTAAAGACCTTTTCTAAAAATACACTTTTTTCTTTTCTTTAAAGGGAACTCATAAAAACCTATCCCCTAAAATAGAGGGATTGGTTTGCTAAATGAATACACCTTGTTTAAGAAATTATTTGTCTATGATTGAATAGTGTAAATCAGGTAACTGTTGAATTGGATCAGTTTGGGTTTAGGGAGGATTCTTCAAATGTTGTGCATTTATTTAACCATAATCAGAAGTGTGAATAGCTGTGGTATTTCCTTAGACATTAGTTGTGCCTCTGCATTTCTGGTAAAGTTACATGAAAAGTGAGAGAGGAGAAGAAGGTGGGGCATAGAAAGAGGTAGCTATGAAAAAGGCATATAGGTATTTTAGCTGCTGGTGTTTGTAATTAAAAGGTGAGCAAAGTTAGTCCATTTACTGATGTCTGTTATTTTCAAAATTATTAACTATAAGTGCTGCTCTTGGCAGTACAATATCTTTCTCTTTTCCCCTAGAAATTTATCACCTAAACTTACAGCATAATTAGCAAGAAAAAAGTTCAAATAAATATCACTAGTACAGACTTTCAAGTTTGTACTTGCTCTGTTCAGTTCAGTAATGCAAGTCTGCCAGCCACCTCAAATTCAAGTCATTTGGTTGCAAATGCTAGTCTCAGTTCCTGTATTTTTTTCCTGCGTGTTTCTTGACCGTAAAGTAGTGTTCTGTTCTTCTGAACAGAAAAAAACACTGTCTAGAAACTGGTTAGAAAGATGAGAAGGTGGAATCTTGGATCTTGTTTGAGATTTCCTTAGATATTTGGGCTGTAAGGTTTGCTTTTCAAAGGCAGTTGAAATCTTAACAATAAAAAAAATAGGAGCATTACTTATCTCTGACAGAAATGCCAAGAAGCTTCACGATTTTTGTCAGTCGTCCTAGGCGTTAATCATAATGTTAATCTCATGTTGTAGGAACAAATTTATTTATTTTTAGAAGGATATTGTTAATGAAGGAAGTCAGGGAGGAGAGCTTCAGAGGACAAATGAATCCCATGGCATATGATTTTTCTTACATCTGTGTTTCCTGTTTACTAGCAAAGTGTGTGATCTTCATGAAGACAGGATACAGAATCTTTATCTGATGATACAAGTCCTGTAGATTCCTCTGCTTTATAGTCGTGAACCATTCAGTGTAAAGATTTCATATCAGTCCTCAGGCAGAGACAGTTCTGTGAAGTATTGAAAACAGCCCGGAACAGTGGCCAGGCAGTAATGTACTTCTGGGTTCTCTACATGCATCTTCAGCCATGTGGATTGATTAGACTGATCTATGAAGCTATCATCACTGGGGAGAAGGGGCAAAACCAGCAAAACTGAAGCCCAACCTGTAAAAACAAGTCACACAATTTTGAATCCATGCTGCTGTTTGACTTAGGTTTCCTACTCTACCCTGTCCCCATGGAACAGCAGTTCCAACAGCCTGGTAAGACAGAGAAAGTTTTGAATTGAAAGACAGATAAGGGAAGTCAGGAGTGTCAGAAACAGTTAATATCTGTCTCTGAAAATGCTTTTGTCTTCAGTTGTTGCACAAGTGAGGTGCTGCCCAGAAGGAGGTGTCTCACTAGAGTTTTGATTTTTTTCTTCAGAAAGCAGTTGACTTACTGCAACAAATTTACTGTATTTAGTGTATGTTATGAGGTTAAGCACTTTCAGAGTAAACTTGTGTTATGTGTTCAACTTCTAAAATACTACAAGGTTTTTTTCATATTGTTTCTACAGTAAAATTTTGGTTCATATTAACAAATTCAGTGTAGTCTCCCTTGTAACTACTGCAACTGCTCGTATTTAGTTGGATTTGCGTGTTTAGTATTGTATTTTATTCTTGTTCTGAGGTGTCCATACTGTATTCTCAGTTACAACTCACAAATCAGATAGAAAACTTGTTAGCAACCACTTCCTTGACAGGGTAGCAAAGCTGTTTTTTTACAGGAGTGTAGGTTTTCAGCTGACAGCTCTGTCTGAGCAATGGATTCACATCCCAACAGGGAGAGGTCAACCTTTGGTTTGTCTCCACAAACTGTGCACATCCACAGCAGTCTGAGTCCACTGCTTTTGCTTAAATCAAAGCTTTTTTGTGAATTAGAGCTGGCTGTGTGTGAAGCTGGCTCAGATGCTGCTCTGTACTGCTGCTGTCTTGGCTCCAATATTGTGTCTGAGACAGGAACAGCTTCTTCAGGCTCTAAAACTGGTCAATACTGTGAAAAAAGAGACATCTGAGTCTCTGCAAGGCTTGTCTTGTGTTGAAATGAAATATCTTTTGGTGATAAGCTTGCCCACCCTGGCACATTAAATTGCCCAGCCCCTAAACATTACGTAGGCCAGAGCAGTTCTTCTGCATCAGCCTTTCCATGTGTTTATCTCGTCCCTCCTTAGGCCTGAATTCCTATTTCCTGCTGTCGTGTCGGTGAATTCCACCCTGGCAGTCGGTGTCCAAACTCAACGGAGCACACACCCTCATTCAATGTGCTCATAAGCTGACTTGTTTTGGAGTGGTGATCTTGCCAAATTTGAAATGAGGAAAGCGAGGGGGAAAAAATAGACCTTTAAAGTTTCAAATTAAAATCTGAGTCCAGCTTTAAGGTCTGCTTAGACTTAATATGACCTTTTCAGCAGGTGACTGTTGTCACTTTCACTTCTGTGAAAGTAGGTCAGAGAGAAGGAAGATTTAATTAAAGTCTTGGAGGCTTGGATCCTAGTGATCACTTGCACATGTGCTCTGCTAAGGTCATTTGAGAGATCCAGTCCTTTTTAGTAAGATTTATATAACAAATTAAGACTTATAGTCTGTTTCTCTTGTATGAAATCCTAGGCTGTTGATGATCACTGCTAGTGACAAGCATTTCTGGTTCTGCAACAACTCAACTAAATTAAATGCATATAATGTCAAACTAACTTTAAAAGTTTTTTTTGTTCCAGTACTATCTGGAGTACAGAGTTCTTGGAAGTAAAATTTTGGTTCAGGAGTGCTTATGGAGCAGTATTCTGCATACATGTAAATCTCCTTGGACTAATCTTTCACCAAACAAAACAGGTCCTAAGAATGTTTTATTAATGCTAGGTTTACCTTAAAATAATTTTGCAAGCTCCAGATTAAGTAATTGTTCAAAGATGGTGTGTGTCATGGATTGACACTGGCACAGTGCCAGTGCCTCCATGAGAAGTGTATTCCCCAAAATGGTCACTGTGAGATGTGACCCGGGAACAGAACAAAGCAGGCTCTACCTTGGGAATGGAGGGAAAAAAAACAACACTTTATTAATCTACACAGACACAAACTGTCAAAATTGCTGAGTGTGTTGTAGAAATTTCTCCACATGGTGAAGGTGTGCTGCTGATGCTAAAAATGCCAGCAGGGTGGAAGAAGTAATGATAGGATAAAATGAAAATGGCTCCTCACGTGTTTTGTTTTCTAAAAAAAGGACCAAAACCCCCACAACTGCCTTTTGCCTGCCACCAGGGCTCACCAGGGAGTAGCTTCAGTCACTTCTCAGCTAAGTTGTGCTGCCTCTGAACATCCCATTAAGGGTCTTAGAAGTCTTTAATGTAAAATTGAAATGGGTGTGAAGGATCCCTTCAGAGGGTTTGATATTATGACTGTTTTAGTTTGCAAGGCTTTACCTCCCGGCTGATTTAGAACATAGCTTAAATGGGATGTTTTCATTGGAATGTTGACTGAACCTAGGACTATAACTGGCTCCATAAAAGCACAGTAAAAACTTTAAATGCTGCTTCGCTCTAGAAGAGATTTTATTTTCTTTGCTAGTAATACTTACATTCTTGAAGTGAGATTATTTTTTATAATTTTGAAACTGTCTTGAAGCAGAAGTCCATAAAAATTTATTTACTCTGCGCTTCTGGGTTTTTTTTTGTAAATAAACATCTTCATCTTTCTCAGTAAAGTGCCTGCTAGGATGTGTACGTACAAGCTACAAAATATGTCATATTTTTCTCATACAAACTAATCCTGCTCTGTGAACTAAAATATTGTTCCATCAAGCAGATAGTATACTCACCATAGCATTTCCAGACTTTTGATAGCAGAATTAACAAGTGGGAAGTACTGTAATGAACAGTGCGTTTGTCATAGATTTTAGACCATGTATGTTAACCTCAGGATGGTAATTCTGGGCAGTCAAATGGGAGGGACCAAAATTATGTTAGCAGGTAACTGAGGATGGGGAGGCACAATTGTGCACACCTGGTGTAGTGCAAAAGATTTGATAATATACCTTAAAGTTAGATGTTTGTGCAATTTGGGTGACTTCTGACTTAGAATGTAATGTGTGTGGGTGTGTTAATTTCTACTGTGCACTTATGAGCTAAGTTTAGAAACCAATTTTTCCCCAAATTCCACTTAATAACAAGTATGCTACATCTAGGAAATAAAAATGTGACATGGTTTTCTTGCAGGAATGAAGGCATTGACTGTGACACTAGAGGGGAGGGATTCTTTTGCATCTGAGTAACTCTGCAAAATGAAAGCCAGTTTTACCAGAATTGTCCAGACATTAGCTTCTCACCAAGGTCTTATTTCTTTAGCAATTGCACTTTTAAGTTTTAGCTTTGCACCTCTCAAAAAAAGCTTTTAGTTTTTAATTTAAATTATAAGTTTCCCATTTTAGACAAATTGGATGTTTTAGAGGGGGAAAAATGCTTTGACGCAGGCACCAGGGCATTGTAGATCATTAATTTTCTGAAGTCTATAAGCAGTTGATGACAGAGGCAAAATGTGTCAGCCTGGCTTGCACAAAGCAACTATTCTACTTGTTTAGAGCTGTGCATGTCACTGTGAGTTGTCAGTTCTACATAAAGGACATTTGTTTCTCTGGATGTTGATTTAGCATAGTATCTTTCCAGTTGACTATGGATATGAAATGAGCTTCTTAGCTATATTAAAAAATATCTTCCATGTTAATTTGTTGTTATGATTATCAATAAAAGCAAGGCTGTTTATTCTGATTTTATGACTTAATAATTTGGAAAATAGATGTTACAGTAATGAAAGCTTATGTCTTTTAATTAGTAATATATATTGCTTTTGTATTTCCTGTTTTCTTCTGTTTAGGTGAAAAACTTTGCTGTTATTTATCTTGTGGATATCACTGAAGTACCAGACTTCAACAAGATGTACGAGTTGTATGATCCCTGTACTGTCATGTTTTTCTTCAGGTATGTGATGGTTCTGGAATGTAACTCACTTAAACTTTCTGTTTGTCAAATACAGTGTCTCAGCAGATCATTTCCAAATGCATAATATAGGCACACTGATGCCTATATTTACATTGCTCTACAGAAGAGTAAACTGATTTTATATGAAAATGGATTGTTTTCCAATTAGCCTGGTAACAGTGTTTGATAATAGAGTACAAATTAGTGATAGTGAAAACTGGGTTTATTATCCATTTTTCTTAGTTTTAAATCTCAAACTTCCTGCAGTCAAGCTTGTCAAACTTGTTTTCAAGATAAATCAAAAGTAATAAGGTTTTTTTGGAGTTAAGGTTTCTACATTGATGAGATAAAATGTTCTGCTGACAAGCATGGAAGTCTTTCTGGAGATAGACAGTAGTGAAAAAGAAATGCAAACAGTAAGGAATATGCTGAAGGATAATTGCACCGAGTAACCATTTTGGGGGCATGTTTGGAGTCCTTATTCTTGCTTTAAAAATTGGCAGTAAAATGTCAGTTTAAGTGAGAGGAGTAATGCTTGTTTTGCAAGCCTCTTTATGTTATAAGGGCTTCCTTTGATCCTACAAAGCATTTGGGGTGGGGTATAAGATTTCTTTCTGAATTATAATACCATATTAACCTGTTTTTTTGTTCTTCCTCTTCAAAGGAACAAACACATCATGATTGATTTAGGTACAGGTAATAACAACAAGATCAACTGGGCAATGGAAGATAAGCAGGAGATGATTGACATTATAGAAACTGTTTATAGAGGAGCCCGCAAAGGTCGAGGTTTGGTGGTATCGCCGAAAGATTATTCCACTAAATACAGATATTGATGTTTCTTTGGGCTGCCTTTTTTCATAATCCTATGTCCAGTTAAATTTATTTCTGTGTATGTGTGTACATATATGTATATTAAAAGAAAAAAAAAAAACCTACAAGTCCTTGAATATTGAGCATAAATTGAATTATTTAAAATATTTGAATTCTGTTTGAGAAGTAGAAAACTCAAAGCCTGGAACTGTCTTGAATATTACTGCAGTAATACAGTAGCTGAATTTTGAGGTTTTCTTTTTTAAAGACTCTCCTTTGTTGTCCTTTTGGTATTACAGGTTTTGTACACAAAAAGCCTGTTTGCAGAAATGCATTTTAAATTGTTTCATTTGCTTTTATTACACAAATATCTGGGAAAACTATACTATAGTTTTTTTAAAGAATAAAGTAAGTTCCACTTATTCACCTTAATTTTTTTCAGCTAATGAAATTTGACAGTACAGATGGGTGCATTGGGTGCAAGTCTGTAATGTTGAAGATGACTTCTGTTGGGATTTCCTTGTGTATCATATTAGTCCCCTGTATCCACTAAAAATGTGAATAAAACAAGGTGCATTTATTAGTGTTTAGCAAAACTCAGAGAAAACATGTCCTGTGACTTTGCTCACCACCACACCCTCATCAGCCTAATGGACTTGTGGTGCCAGATTCCTTTTCCATGGTGGCTGGGCACTCACTTTGAAGCACTTGGTGAATTGTGCAGTGCCAAAGCACAATTGCACCTCTGGAGCTGGCTACAGACAGCAGCTGAGGAAACCAAAAGCTGTCCTGTCACTTGACCTCCGGTTTGCCTAATAGTATACCAAAATGCACGTGTACTTGGGAGACTTGGATTGGATTCCACTGTGGCATAAGTTTTGAAATTTCCATTTGCATTTCTGACAACTTTTACTGTAATGGAATTGGTATTGTTTGGGGGCTTGTTTGTTTTTTAAACTGATACATGCATATTTACAGGATTAATTAAAACCAAACCAGGCTAGCTCCTTTCTCCAGAAAGATGTCCCGTTTGTTACAAGACAAAGAATTTACTTCTACTACTACCAAGTGTGTTGTAGAGGATTTAGAAAGTGTGAAGAAAGTAAAGCAAAAGGGTCTCAATTTCTGCTGAAGTTAATCTGGTTTAGAGTGGTTATTGATTTTGGAATAACTTATGTTGGAAGGGAATGTCAGCCTCCCAGTAATAGTAGGTTCCACATGGTCAGGTTGCCCAGGATCGTAGCCAGTGATGAGTATCCTGATTGGACTAGATGATCTTCAAAATGTCTTCCCACCTTGATGATTCCATGTTCTCTAAGGATGGAGATTCTTCAGCCTTTCTGGAAGGCCTGTTCTACTGTTTGAGCACCTTCATAGTTGAAAAAGGTGTTCCTTGCATCTAGCTGGAATTTTCCATGTTTCAGCTTGTGTCGAGTAACCCTGGTGTACAACACCTTCAACAAGAGTCTGTTCCCCATGCTCTGCCATGGGGTGGTTGGCAGCAAGAAGCCATGGTCCTTTCTTTAGGATGGACTAAGAGATTTCTCTCAAACCTTGTATCTGCTGTACTCCACTCTGTCTTGGTGATTCTATTTTACCTCCCTCACACCACTGCATCTCTTGAACTGGGCAGCCCCCAAACTGACAGAATATTGTGGGTCTGGTCTCCCAGTGAGGTGAATGGAGGGGGAATGACTTGCTGGCCCTCCTTTGTGCTAATACTGACCAGTGGGTTGCTGCAGCCCTTGCTGCCTGTGCACCCTGCTCACTCAGTCAACCTTTCCTCCAGACCCCTTTCCTGCAAAGCAGTGTCAGCCATGCCCTCACACCTGCCCAGCTTGGCATTTTGAACTTCAGCAAGATGCTGTTGGCCCACTTCTCCAGCCTGTCCTCCAGCATACCAACCTCTCCCCCCATTCTGACAGCACTTGCAAGTCTACACTGATTAAAGCATTAATTGGAATGATTTCTTGATATTAATGAAAGCTGTAATAGAAGCATTTCTCCCTCATTAGCTGAGGTATTTTGTTAACCTGGCAATGCTTCAGCTTCCGCTTTTATGGTAAAAGGTTCCCATTACATTTCAAACTAAATCTTCCCTGCAAAGAGTACCAATATTTTGGTGTACAACCACCTTAAATTTAGTGCAGATGTCCTGTTTTCTGACTACCAATTTCTTCTGGACATGCCTGGTAACTAGAATTCATCTGTTTCCAGGTCTTTAAATAAAATAAGCTGTTTTCATTGAAACAGCTAATATTAAAGAATTGAAATTGTCACAATAGAAATACCTGGGTGATGTCACCTGCACTGGTGTGCACAGCTTTGGGTGGGCTTGTGCAAAGAGTAACAACCGAGCAATTGTAGCCTACAAATACTGCCATTTTTTTAATACAGAATGGTTTATTCTAAGAACATATAAGCTAAAAAGGCAACAAATCTCACTATTTTAATACTAAAATAAATACATTTTCATTCATTGAAAACATTTGTGATTGGCTAAGTTCACTATATAGAATACAGTTCTATCCAAAACAGTGGCTTTGCCTTCTCTGAAACTAACAGTTCTTTTTCAACTCCAGGAAACACAGTGCCCCACTTAGATGAACAAACCCAGCTTTCTATTTTTTTTCCTGGGGCAATAGTTTAAAATTTTTTTCAAGGTTATGACATGATACAAACACATTTGTTTTCCCTTAACATTTTTTTTTTTCAGTGTGACACTAGACTGGAAAATGTCGGAGTCAGTGCTATGCTGTTCTGCCCTTAATCTTCCTTAAACACATCCTCATTTCAGTGCTGCAAAGATACAGTGAATAAGTAGGTTAGTGATTTATTCATGAATGTGATTCAGCATGGAGATAGGAAGATCTGTGGACAGTTAAATACATCTTTGTGGATTGTCTTTCTGCATTTCTGAAAATTATTGTGTACCTTGTGCAAAAGGCATCAGAATGGATACCTAAATTACTTCAGAATATTTACTTCAGAATATTCTTATGCAGTGAAAGACAGGAATGTCTTTCACTGCATAAGAAGTTCCAATGACAAGAATAATTGATGTGTCTCAGTTTGAATCAGGAAAGTGTGCAACAACAGGAAGACAACATCACTTGCATCCAGAGAACACGGAAGCAGTGCTGCCTTACAAATACTAACAACACAAAGTCAGCCATCCATCAGGGAGGGGCCTGGCATTTGCAAGAGAAAGATATAAAATCCAGAACACAATCCTGAAATGTATGATTTTATAATATGAAGTGATTGACTATTGCTGTGTTTGTGGTGAGTGTGTGTGAGAGGTGCGCTCCAAGCCACACTGGGAAGCTGTAGCAGGTTTAAAAGCAGAGGTACATAAATTTACACCAGTGAGCATCCTCAGCTAGGTTAGCATACCTGAGGGGCAGGAATGGTGGGCAGGAACACTTCAAACCACACACATTTCAGTATGAATGGACAGCCTCAGTTTACACACTTGGAGTAAGTTAGCACTGCCCCCTTGTATATTGCACTCAGCTGGAACAGAGGCAGCAAGATACAGTTTTTCTTTTGTAAAAGTGGTCATGTTCTTTGTCTCTTGGCAAAAAAAAATTCCCAAGGTATATTAAATATGTTTTTTAAAAGTACACTTTTAAATCCAAGAAAATGCAGGTATACTAAATATGTAAACACCATCACTCGCCCACCACTCAAAACTAAGTGGAGATGCATAAAACACAGAAAAACTTAAGTAAGTGTCTTTACTCCCAATTCTTCATCTCTGCTTTCTACCCCAGCCTCTGTCATCAGGTCAGCAACACGCATCTCAAGGTCACTGATGTGCTCGCCCATTTCTTCCAGTAAAAAGTTAAAGATAACTTTTATAAATAAGAGTTCTACATTTTTACAGTTTTTTTTTCTTTTTTCTTCCAGATGTGCCAGTCTTTTACTTGTTCACATTTAGTGTAAGATGAAGCATGCACAAGGTGGGACAGGGTGTGCACAAGGTGTCTTAGAACACAACCCCTCCTTCTCTTACAACAGATAAACATTTAAATTCTTAGTATCAAAAGCCTTTGCAAATACTCACGAGTGAACTGTGTGAGAGATTGTTTTCTTTCTGAGGAACTCTTTAAAGGTGCTCACATACAGGTAACCTACAGAATTAGAATATGAATGCTACTCAAACATTATTCAGGAAGTAACTGCTTCCTGAAAGGTCAAGTTTCTGAAAAAAAATTAATAAATGCTTCAGAAAGCAGAGGTAATTTCTGTAAGAACACAAAACAAGAAAGCTCAGAGACCCTTGAGGTCTGATTTTGTTCTTTTGAGGGCTCACCTTGTCATGCTCAGGCCAACAGCTGCTTTTAAACCGTGGCTCGTTTGAGTTGCATTTTTGGAGATGGATGCTTTTTTAAATGCACCTTCAGAATCTTTACACATAATTCGATGCTTATTTTACTTGAAAGCCAGAATTGCTGCACAGAGACTACCTTGCTACTTGCAGTGAGACATTTTTTAGGATTTCCTTCTTAGAAAAAGGGATCTATAAACAGGCTGGGCCGGGGGTGGGGGTGGGGAAAGTCAGGTGCCTTTACGTCATAGGTATTTAGTCACATCACACATTCTACGCTAATTTGATGTTTAATAAAGAAGCCCACCCCGCTGTTAGAAGCAAAGGCCCCGCCCGCACCCACCAGCGCGCAGGGGGCCCCAGCCGCGGGATGATCCCCACGTTCCAAAGAGGATATTTCTCAGCGTCAACTTCTCCGTCAGAGCCTCAAAATTCTCCTGCAGCCGGCAGAGCAGATTTTCCGCCTGCGGGGGGAGGGGGAAAATAAAGACAGGGGAAGCAGAAGGCAGGGCCCCGGCCGTGCAGGAGCCCCGCAGCCAGGGCACCCCGCCCGGCCCCGCTTACCAGCCGCGGCAGCTCCGCGGCTCCCGGCGGCTCGGCGGCCGCCATCGGCTCCGGCTCCGCGGCGCGGCGGGGCGGGCAGAGCGCGCACGGCCCCGCCCGCAGCGGAGCCGGGAGCCCTTAACCCCCCCTTCTTCATCTGCTGCAGAAAGCGTCGTTCCGCGCGGCAGTAACTAAATAACCATGCCGAGGTTTGATCTTAAGAGGTCTTAATTTTTTTTTTTTTTTTAAAGGTCTGCTTCCTTTTCCCCCGTGCAATTTGTTTTGTAAGATGGAGTGGTAAAAATACCGTGGTGGTTGAAGTTCCTTGCACTGCAATGTCGAGCGAGACAACATCAAAGGCATCAGCAAGAGTCGCATGGTGCCTCTTGCAGGACCAGCATCTAGGTCATCCCTGGCTTTTGGGCTGCACAGCGTCAAAAAGCTCCCAGTGCATCTATTACAAAGGTGTCTTTCTTCTGGAAGCTGAGACTATTGCCTGATGTAAATGAAGAGGTTTTCAGTTTACTGTGTCTGCATGGTTAGGAGCATATCACTGTTGGGCAATAAATTACCTTAGTCAATTACTTTGAGTAATTACATATGCTAGATATGCCAAATATGTGTCTTCATCCACAAAAAAATTCTGAGCTGGGAATTACTTCAGTTGCTGTAAGCCTACCACTTAGAATCTTTCGTAATATACTTAATTGTTTTCCTTCTTAACCTTCCCCACCTCATTTGAGAGGGTGTGTTAATGGCTGAGGTGAAATTCTGGCATTGCTACCTGCTTCCCATAATTGTAGCTTCTCTGTACAGCCTTTTTTCCCACTCTTGCAGGTAGTCCTCATTGTAGAAAGAAAAATCAATCATGGTTTGCAAAGCTTTAGTGTTCTAGCAGCATTACTGCTCTAGAAAGCTTCTAGATAAAGAATTTGAACAATATTATGCATGTAGATAGGGTAGCCACTAGCTTCAACCATACAGCCTTTTTGTTCTGTTGCATGAGTAAAAAGGAACAATTGGTGCTTCTTACCTGTTTATTTGTCGATCATAAATATTCTTCCCTTTAAGGCTAGGTAGTAGTAGAAGGTAGAGCTGTGGTATTTTTGCATTTTTAATTCTTCCTGGTGTTCCCTCCTTCCAGAAGAGCTACAAAAGCTTCTCTCTCATGCAGCAATATTTTCCCCCAGAGGTAGTCAAAGTGGCTCTGCCCACTTTTGCCCAGTTATCTTGAACAAAGCCCTAGAGTCCTATTTGTAGTGAAGAGCTTGCAAGGATAAAGAAGCAGCTGGAAATGCAGAGGAGCAAGCATTATACAGCCAACCAATTCACACTTCACTACATCCTACTACATCTTTGTAGTGCCACATTTTAGCAATGATCAGGTTAGAGCTGAACTGAAAACAAGCATGACTTGATAAAGGTTTTCTGTAATTAGCTCCTCATTTTTGGGAGGTAGGTCAGTGTGGTCAAAACAGAAAAAAATACAGTATCCAGCTGGCACAGTAATGGAGGACAGGCAATGAAAAGTGTGAAAGAGACTGAAAAATACTTACCATGCATTTCCCCCTTCAAAGGTCTCCTTCTTTTACTTTGTGGACTCAGCAGCTGATGTGAATGGCCCTCTTAGTTCAGATCTGGAGCTGAATTAGGCCAATAGTGCACAGCTGGATTTATAAAATAAAAACAGAAGTCTCTTTAAAGCTAAAAGTAGCCATGGAAAACTTCAGAAAGCCTGTGAATAGAAGAGACAAATGACAAGACCACACAGACTTTGCTTAACAATGGATTTACTTACGATAGAACCTAGCATGCTTGGTTTTGCTCTGCTGTCCTCTAGTCTCTCCCTTCTCAGAGGGCTTAGAAGTCCAGAACTGAGCTGTTGCATACATTTCCAGGGTCTGAAATCTGGGGATGTAAGATGAGCCATAGTTTAAAAGCATAGTCCATGCTGGGCATGTACCCATGGGCTAAGGGAAGCTGAGCAAAGACCCTTTGGTTTTGTTTTGTTTCAAAAGCAGAGGGCTAGCTGAGAACCAGTAAACCACCAGTGCTCATAAGAGTATTTACTGCAATAAGAATGCTTAATTTACTAAAAGGATAACAAGAAGTTCATTTTAGCAATGAGTAAAAAAACAGGTCCTGTGGAGGTTTGAGTAAGGAGCAAAAGAGAAGATTTGACAACAAATTCTTTTTCCATTCCAAAATATGCTCTGTGCTACTTTCTTGCAGTAAAAAGCTTAGACTTTAGTCACTTTGTCCAAATATGTCTTTTTGGTATGAAGAACATGAAGTAAAAATAAAATTAGGGTGACCTCGAGGCTGGGGTGCCATCTGCTTCCATCCTATTTCAGTATTGCAGACCTGTGCTGTGAACTCTTTACAGTGTGCGCTGCAATGGTATCCAAAGCATGTTTTCCTTGCTCTTTCCTAGGGAAATTCCAGTCCCTCCACTGCTGGAAGCAGAAGTCATAGTAGTAGGATAGGACATAAAAGCATGTTGAAACATTTATAAAACCTAAGCTCCAAGTTCACTGTCATGCTGTAAAAGGCTGTGATGTGGCGAGAGAACTGATGTAGAAATGCATTATCCTTGCTGTTTGGATGTTACATAGAGCCTCTTTCCCTCCTCTTTGCTGACAAACAAGATTTTATATACCAGGAGTAAGGAATCCTCTGGTCACACACTCCAAGCATGTCTGGCTCAGGGTTGCTTTGGAATGGAGGTGAGGCCAGAGAGAGGACATCTCAAAGAGAAGCTGAATATTACATGTGTGATAAGAGGGAAAACAGGAATTTAGTCCTGGAAGGAGACAAGGAGGCAAGCGCTCCTGGGTCAACGTGGCAGCTTGTTTGGCTGCAGATCAGAAGGCAGGATGCAAATGGTACTGCAAATTTTGTGGGTTTGCTTTTTTTTCTTCCTGGCAGAGGCATGGTCAATACTAAAAGTTTTCTCTGAAGAGAAAAGGGCTAGATACAAGTTAGTGCTTGCAGCACAATCATGGTACTTTTGCTAACAAATTGTTGGGCTGGGTCTTTGAGTCATGCTGTGCTTGGTCCTTCCCTCTCAGGTAGCTTCTCTTGTGTCACTTTGCAGTAGTGATTCAGAGGGACACAATGTGCAGAAAAAAAAACATCTGGCTTTGCTAGGTCATCAGCTTTTATATGCAGCAATCCCAAATGGTGCTGATGGTTCTTGTTGCAAACTCTGACATTTACCCAATCTTTTAATTCAGCATAATGCAGCTCACTGAAAGCTTGCTCCACTGGAGTACTTCCTGGTGAAGGCATCGCTTTTCTTTCATATGCTAACATCAGTAGACCAACAAGTTGTTATTTAAAAACGTGGAAAGACGTGGTGAGTGGAATGCAAATGCCTCAGGCAGGAGAAAAAAAGCATTCGGGTCATTGGTGTCTGACAGCCTTTGAAAGACAAAGTCCTTTGAGGTGAATATTAAAAGCCTGGGTGTTTGCTCATGGTTCAAATTTCAGCTTCTGTATCTTTGAAAAGTGTAATTCCAGCCGTTGGAAACCTGATCCCTGATGGAGGTGCTCTACCTTTAATAAAAGTATTCTGTTTTGGGACTGCTGCTTACAAATCCCCTTATTGTGAAATATTTCAGCCAGCCCCTTTCTGCAAGTATCTACAGAAAGAAAACTTAACGGGTTAAGGATAATCTTGATCAGATGTTCAGTGCATGCTCTGGGCATCATTACAGCTAAGCAGCTGTAATAGAACACAGGGTATAATTTTCCTTGTAAGCGTATTGCACCGGGATAAATGCAGGAGCAGCAGAAAGGTGACTTTGGAGGCTGGTCTGGTGGGTGGTGGCATCCTTTGGCTCTGTGAAGAGCTGTGTGTAATTCACAGCTCTGTGAAATCACCCACCCAGCTGCTGTTGACTGAGTTACTATGTGGTGATCCAGAAATCTCCAGCTATGTTTCCCGGACATGGCTGGTAAGAGATGTTGCTTCTCATGCTTTTTCCTGCTCCAGCCTTGTTCCATTGTCTTTGGATAGTGAGGGTGAAGGAGTATTCACCACTCAGCTCACCTCCTGAAAGGCTGCAGGAGGGAGCTGGAGGTGTTTGTCCCTGGTGGGAGAGGGAGCAGAGTCTGTTTCTCTGGCCTGGTGGCATGCCTGGCACTGCATCTGGGTGCTGTGTTCAAACCATCCCATGGCCTTGCTCCTCACACGGGCACAGAGGAGCTTTCTGGAAACAAACAGTGTGTGACAGGTGAGGCTCTTCTGTGATGGCAGGATGGGCAGCCCCTGTGGCAGAAGGACAGGCAGCTGACCTCGCATGTTCAAATCCCACAGCCTGCTGTGGCTCTCTTCCAGGGACCTCGTGGTCCAGAGCAGAATGTGCATTTTGTGCACAGATATTAAACATGGCATGTGCTGTGATGCGTGATGGAAAGAGTATTTTTCTAAAATATTTGACAAAGAACGCCTGTGCTGAAGAGGCTGGAAGCTGGGCAAAGGAGGGAGTGGTTCATTGGAAAACACCCATTTTGCATTTCCAGAAGGTGTAAAGAACTGTGGGTAAGATTTCCTGTGACCAAACTGCAGCTATGCTAATGTTTCTTTCCAGCTTCAGACACAATTTTTCCCAGAGCAGGCAACTGGAGTGTCTCCCTGGTACAGGCAGTTTAAATTCACCTTGAATTAATGGAAAGCACTTAGGATGCATAAGATGTGGGTTGATTTGGGCAAATGTGGGCAATAACACTGGAGAACATTGGGTGTAGGACACATGCTCTAACAGCAAGATGTGGGTCAGTGAGCAATGACAGTAATAAAAACAGCCAAGAGTGTGGTAATCTGATTCTTTAGCTTTTTTTTTTTTTTTTTCTTTTCCCCTGGGAGGAAAAGCTTGCCCTTCCTCATCTGAAACAAAGATCTTTTGCAAATATGCTCTTAAGACTGAAACCTTGACTGGCAGTGGCCTGCCTGCTTCTTCTGTGAGACATTTGTGGGAGAGGAGAGGAGCTAAGAGTTATGACAGGTATTTTATGCAGCTTGGGTAATGTTGGAAGCCCTCCCACATCAGCTCCATTTAGTGTTCCACATGGTGTTTGCCAGCAGGAGACATTTGGGTGCATATTCCAAGCATGCCTAGCAAAAGGCATCTGA